AGAGATCAGGTCATGGGAGTCCTGATAAGCCACATTCATCTTGTTGACACTGGGAACCACTCACGTTAAGAAGGGAATTTTAACATCTATTACACTCTTACTGTGGCTTAGGTTTATTTTCTTAACATATATTATTATCTCATTTAATGCTCACAATAGTCTTTTTCCTGAAAACTGAATTTCATCAGAGCTGAATAAAGGCTGGTATCTTATTTATCCTGAAATACTTGGTGTTTATAATTATATCCTAAGTAGCATCAGCATTCTTTGAAGTCAGGTTTTTTTTGTATTATGCTTCTTTCTATTCCACAGATAATTCAGGTCAGTGTTGACATAATTTTATCTGTTTCCCAGTTTTGGTTTAGTATTATCAATGCCCCTTTTATTTATTTTTTATTTTTATAATATTTTTTATTGGTTTCAGAGAGGAAGGAAGAGGGAGAGAGATCGAAACATCAATAATGAGAGAGACTCATTGATCGGCTGCCTCCTGCACTCCACCTACTGGGAATTGAGCCCACAACACCTCCCGTTCCGCGTCCCAGGAATGGAACCATGACCTCCTGGTTCCTAGGTCGAAGCTCAACCACTGAGCCACACAGGCCAGGCTGAATATGCTTTTTTATTTGCCTTTCTCTTAACTTCCACAGGTTGATGCTCTATCCACTGAGCCAACCAGCTAGGGCTCTGTGCCTCTTTTAAAGTGTCTCCCAGTTGAGCACAGCATACAGAGGTATCCTGATTATTCATTTTAGAATAGAATAGAACTTATACTATCTGTGTTCTGTGTTCTAAGACTTTGTTATTTAAGTTGACAATGATTAACTTTTTTGGGGTAACTATTTCATGCTGTTTATATTAAATATCCAAAGCTAAGTAAATTTTTCACATGTATTACTTTTAAGACCTTTTGTATTTGTTTGGTTGATCATTTAGAACCTAAATTAGGGATTTCATCTTTATTCCTATTAAACTTCATTCTGTTGGGTTTAGCTCCTCCTAATGCTAACTAATCTGTCTATTTGGATTTTTTAAAATGTTTTTTTGCAGTTTCAGTTGACATTCTATATCTATATATATAAAAGGCTAAGTGACTGACCGTCTGTCCGACCGTCTGTCTGACCGACCAGACAGTACATATGACACACACTGGCAATCCTGTATAATAAAAGTATAATATACAAATTGACCCTAATGGCGGAACGACCAGGAATGACCGGTCGCTATGACACACACTGACCACCAGGGGGCAGATGCTCAACACAGGAGCTGCCCCTTGGTAGTCAGTGCGCTCCCACGAGGGAGCTCTGCTCAGCCACAAGCCGGGCTGATGGCTGCAAGTGTAGTGGCAGGAGCCTTTCCCGCCTCCTCTGCAGCACTAAGGATGTCTGACTGTGGCTAAGGCCTGCTCTCCTGGGGAGCGGGCCTAAGCTGGCAGGTGGACATCCCCCGAGGCCTCCAGGGCTGCCAGAGGGATGTCTGATTGCCAGCTTAGGCCTGATCCCCCAGGGAGTGAGCCTAAGCTGGCAGGTGGACATCCCTTGAGGGGTCCCAGACTGGGTGCAGGCTGGGCTGAGGGATCCCCCCTCCCCGCCCCGGGGGCACGAATTTTCATGCACCTGGAGGTGTGGCCATGGTCCCTGCATGCGCCCCATCTGACACTGGCCTTCCATTTAAATTAATTTGAAGACAGTTTCCTGTGATGCCAGCATTTGCGATGACTATTAATAAATCACAAGGACAAATGCTAGACAGAGTAGGAATATTCTTACCTGAACCCGTTTTCAGACATCAGTTATATGTTGCTTTCTCTTGAGTTTGAAGAGCATGTGACATTAAAGTTAAAGTTGTAGATACTTCATCACAAGGGAAATTAGTCAAACACTCTGAATGTGTTTTTATTCTTAATGTGGTATACAGGGAGATACTAGGATAAGTTTGATCCATTTAGCAGGCATTGTTTTTATCAAGGTTTTTATATCATGATTTTGTTTTTATATCATGTTTCTGTTGTTTTTATATTATGTCTTTGTTGTTTATTAATCAATTTATATATTATTTTATATACATTTTACTAATTTTCATCTCTGACACTCCTATTATAAAGAAAGGGCGAATAGCAATATTAAAATATTTCTTCTAATTAATTTCCTTTCAGTGTGCACGAATCCATGCACCAGGCCACTAATTATTTTGTATTAGTTTCAGATATACAGCATGGTGGCCAGGCAATTACATAATTTACAAAGTGATCCTCCTGATCATTCTAATACCCAACTGGTACCATACATAGTTATTATGGTTTTATTGACTATTTCTTTTAATTCATATACTGGGACAGGCAAAAATAGGTTTACAGTGTGTGCATGTTTAACAGTTCATTCCTATATTATTATTTATTGGTTATTGTATTGTTTTCCATACAAACAATTATAAACCTACCTTTGCCCACCTCTGTATTTGAATAGCTAATATATGGCTTAAAAGTCCCAAAATATAAATGGCTACACACTACTATGATGTTTCCCTTGCCCACTCAGTCCTTTACTCTTCCCACAGTTGTTCCTTATGTATCCACCCAGCGTTTTTTGTTTTGTTTTTTTTTTATTTAAATAAGTCTGTTTTTAATTTTTTTTTGTTTTTTGGTGTTTTTTTAAAAATATATTTTATTGATTTTTTACAGAGAGGAAGGGAGAGAGATAGAGAGTTAGAAAAATCGATGAGAGAGAAACATCGATCAGCCGCCTCCTGCACACCCCTCACTGGGGATGTGCCCGCAACCCAGGTACATGCCCTTGACCGGAATTGAACCTGGGACCCCTCAGTCCGCAGGCCGACTCTCTATTCACTGAGCCAAACCGGTTTCGGGTCCACCCAGCGTTTTTATATGTGTACACCGTACAAGCAAATATTAATACACAGTCTTTTGCATATACCTTCAGTAGTGGCTTAAAGTTTATTTTCCCTATACAGATCTTGCATATTGTCTAGATATTTACTCCTTTGTTTGCTCTTATAAATGAGATATTTTGTTGTTATTGTGTATTTATTGATTCCATGTATTGATTTATATTACAGTTGACCCTTGAACCAACACGCAGGTTAGGGATGCAGACCCCTGTGCTGTTGAAAATCCATGTAAAACTTGGCTCTCCAAAAACCTAAGTATAGCTGTCTCATTTTCGAGGGGGTTGGTTTCAGTCTCTCCCCCCAAACAGATCTCATGTAACCTGGATGTGCATATAGACTACAGCAGAGTATGCCGGCACATCACTTAATTCCTGTGGATTCAGCGTAGTGCTTAGCCTGTGGCATCTTCAGGTTTTGCGTTTCGCACCTTTTTGGGATATTTTTCTTAGAATTTTTTAATTTGAACTTTTAGGTTCAGTTTATTAAGTTCAATGATGACTTTCGAATTTCAGTAGGGGTCTTCATGGTCTGAAATTACTGTATGCTAACTGGGCCAGAAACTGTAAGAAATCACCTTAAAATAAACAAAGATCTCATTCAAATATTTAAAAACTGATAAATGACATAGGAGAACTGGGCATGAAAAGCAGGAAAACAAAACAAGATCAAAGCTATAAAGAGGCTTAATGGGCACTGGGACATATCAGTAAAACATGCTTCGTAAAACAGTTAAGTATAATAAATGTCTTCCAGCCGTGGGCAAACTACGGCCTGTTTGAAATGAATAAAACTAAAAAAAAAAAAAACCGTACCCTTTTATGTAATGATGTTTACTTTGAATTTATATTAGTTCACACAAACACTCCATCCATGCTTTTGTTCCAGCCTCCGGTCCAGCTTCAGAACCCATTGTGGCCCTCGAGTCAGAAAGTTTGCCCGCCCCTGGGCTAGTCCGTTGGTCGGTGAAGTCCCTCGGGCTCAGCAGGAGCATTGTGGTCTGGAGCACCCTCACCTCCAGCCCCACTTCCTCCATTGCCTGAGCAGGCTCCTCCCGCACCTCCAAGAGCTCATGTCAGATGTGTCGAGATTCGGATCTGTTTCAAATAGCTGCTTCTCACTTCATTTGTTCTTTCCTGGTTGTTTTTCTTTCATTTTTTAAAAAAAAATTCCGAGAGTTCTGCATTAAACTTAGCTTTCCAACTTAAGAAATTCTAAATTGTAGCAGGAAAGCCATGAAATAATTACTTTATGGCTTATTCTGGTTTTTTTTTTTGTTTCTTCTTCTCTCCTAGTTTGTATTTGGCCTCCTAGTTTGTTTAATTTTTCTGCACAGCTGTCACTAAAGTAAAGATCATCACCATAGCAAGGTTTTCTTGGGCCTGTAATGCTAATAACTTCTCAATGCCTGAGACACCGGATCTAGGTTTTCCTGGGAGAATGTTTTCAAAGGGGGGGCTTCATCTGGATATTTTTTTCTGAATGTAACCCCAAGGGCTGTTTTTCATGTTTTGATTGCTGATATTAATATTTTCTCCAGATCAGTCTTGATGTATGGTAATAGAAGGTCTTCAGTATTTCTTGGTTCTTTGTAGTCTTATATAAATTTTAGAATCAATTTATTAATTTAAAAGATGGGATTTTGATCAATATCTATAGATTTTGTTATACATTTGCTTTTCATTTCATTACTTTGTTTCCATTTTTATTGTGGATATTCTGTTTCTCAAAGCATAATCAAATTTATTGGTTGAATCTTTGTAAAATATCTATAGTAGATAACAAACTTCCACTGTTAATATTTTCTTAAGTAATTGGTACATAGTTGCCCCAAAAGTACAAACAGGTCATGCTGAGGGAGAGAGAGAATATTTATAGAAGTGTTTTCAGACACATGCACACAGCACTCGGGAATAGTCATTTTGCTGAAATGTACTCATTGTCCTGATCTACTTAATATTGCCTTTCAGAATATTGATAACATTGAAAGGAGCTTACATATTTGAGAGGGGAGCTAGTGAAGAGGGGAGAGTATATATTTAAGAAAATTTGGTGCTTAATTTCAGGAACACTGACCTATCTCAGTAATTAAAATGCTAATTGATACGTTTATCCTTGTTTTTCTAGTGACGTGCAGTTTTCGAGGATCTGTTCCTCAAGGGTTGGTCTTAGAAATAGGAGAAACGGTCCAGATTCTTGAAAAATGCGAAGGTGAGTACGGTGCTGTAAGCATACAAACAGGGATCATTCGGGGCGGTGTTACTTAGTGACATTAGAAGCAATCACTTGGAGCTGTAATGAGCCACATTACAATATACTATTATAAACTCCTCCCTGATCGTTGTTCATCATAAAGGTACAAGCTATTTTCATATAACTGTTAGAATTAATCTTTTGTCAAGAGTGTATCTGCGATATTGTTGTGTATAGTGACAATTCATCCATTTTCCTTTTGGTATTTTAAAAATTTTTTATTTACTTTATTCATTTTTATTGAATTTATTGGGGTGACACTGGCTAACAAGATTATGCGGGTCTCGGGTGCACAGTTCTACAGCATCATCTGTGTTGTGTGTTCACCACCCAAAACAAGTCTCCGTCCACCGCCATTTATTTCCCAAACCCTCCGCCACCTTCCTCCCCATAGCAATCATCATACTGTTGTCCATGTCCATGAGTTTTTTCTTTTTTTTTTCTTTTTTGCTCAATTCTTCCACTCCCTCCCCAACCCCTACCCCACCCTTGACAACTGGTAGCCTGCTCTCTGTAAGTCTGTCAGTAGTTTGCTTGTTAGTTCATTAGATTCCACATATGAGTGAAAAATCATATGGTACTTGTCTTTCTCTGACTGGCTTATTTCCCTTAGCATAATGTTCTCCAGCTCCATCCATGCTCTTGCAAAGGGTAAGGTTTCCGTCTTTTTTACAGACGAGTAGTATTACATGGCGTAAATGTGCCACAGCTTTTTTACCCACTCCTACTGATGGACATTTGGGCTGCTTCCAAATTTTGGGTATTATAAATAGCGTTGCAATGAACATAGAGGTATATGTAGTCTTTTAAAAAAATTCTTTATTGTTTAAAGTATTACACGAGTCTCTCCCCCCCAACCCCAGCCCCCCGCGTTGACCTCTCCCCTCGACCCTAAGCCCTCACGCCCCCTACAGTTTGTGTCTATTGGTTATGCTCATATGCATGCATACAAGTCCTTTGGTTGATCTCTTACGCCCTCATCCCCCACCTTCCCTCATAGGTTGTATAGTCTCTCCAATGCTCTTATGTCTCTGGTTTTATTTTTGTTCATCAGTTTATGTTGTTCATTATATTCCACATATGAGTGAGATCATGTGATATTTATCTTTCTCTGACTGGCTTATTTCACTTAGCATAATGCTTTCTAGTTCCATCCATGCTGTTGCAAATGGTAGTCTTTTGAATTAGTGTTTTAGGTTTCTTCAGATAAATACACAGCAGAGAAATCCCTGGGTCATAAGACAGTTTCATTTTTAATTTTTTGAGGAACCAC